GACCCCTAATCTAATCTACACAGTATCTGAAATAGGTCAGTTTCATTATCACAGTAATCTAGGCTTCTAGAAGACCCACTAAAACATGCTAGGTCTACAACGTAAGCCAGAGTGTTGTTAAAACACTAACATAAAACAATACAATATAGAGGCAGACAGGCAGTTATTCAAGAATGAATCCATGAAAGCTCAGCGGTGTGTGAGCATTCACTGCCAGTCTAGGAGGCATGTGGGCAATTTAATGGAATAATGTAAACAGAAGCAAAACCCCATAATGCATCATAAATACGCCAAATATTTGAGAAACATTGTAGTTTGGTTTAAAGAAAGCATTTTAGTTTCATAATTTAGTTTGTTGCAAGGATTTTACATTTTGAAGAAATAGAAAATTACACCATATACCAACAGTGACATGACAAGGAAGGGCTATATATACTGCATGCATCATTGGGTGGTTAACATTGTGTTACTTCTTGAGCTCCTTGAGTTATTTACTGCCACAGGTAGGAGCTTCCGCTGGAGAGTAAGTGTTGGGGTCGGTCTGATTTAAGGAGGGCCGGCACTCGCACGCTGAAATTAGGACCGGCCCATTGGTGCCCGGTATCCCAGATTACCAGTTCGAGCCTGATTACAATGAAAAACAATTTAACCTTCTTTGCAGCTCTGCTGTAATCTAACCTCAACTTGTTTAGAAATGAAAACCAATAAACTTTAGAATTGACATATATCTTCATCATATTAACACAAAGAAAAACATTCCTAAATCATATAAATGATAAGGTGAGCATGTGGACCACCTTACGAGCCGCATTATGATGATTCTTGCTATTTATTTACAAAAGGAACCCACAGAGGGGTAGATCGGATGGAGGCTAGCAGGCAGACAAAGAAAAACAAAAACTCAAACACAAGGGATCCAGTAAAACAAAGAGGGGAATGACAACTTAATTAGAGGAGAACACAGGTGAACTGAATCCACTAATTACTGAAGGCTCTGAGTGAGGGAGAAATGTTTTAACAGCAATAAACAGAAGCTGCCTTTCCTTTACAAATGTACACTAAACTATGCCAATGTTCTGCTAAGCTTCAAAATGCCAATTTCCAAAATTGTGGTATTTCCATGAAATAACAACTACAATAAAAATTGCACATGAGAACTTTTGTTCATGGGATAATCATCAGCCTCTAACTACTTCTGATTTTTTTTCTTCCTCTTTTTACAAGGTAGTAAGGTCAAATTGGAGACCACGTGACTCGTGAGATACAAAAAAAGTGTATTTTGCGAAATATAAGAATTTTAGGGCAAACAAAAGCCATTTAATCTCAGCGGGAAAACTTTTTCTTAAGGTTTTATTGTTTTGTTTTTTGTTTTTAAATAGCTGTGCTTTTAATTAGCACATTTATTTTCGTAATTACAATTTGCTAATTGATCATTAATGGAATTGCAGCTGGTAAAACACACAAGGCAGAACTTATGGGAATAATCACTAAATGAAATTAAGACAAAACTGACTAAAACACTAAGAAACAAGCAAGAGAAATAGACCAAAAACAACACAGAAAAAAATTACAAACTAATATGGCAAACCCCTAATGGTTAAACGACAAAATATGGCAAAACTAAAATAGGAAAAATAATAACTGTCAGGTTGGGTGGAGGTTTTAGAGGAACCAAATGCAGAGACTGAAATTGAAGTGGTATCTTGCAGTTTTAATAAATCAAAAAGGTGGAAACTGAGGCAAATATAACAAATACAGAAAACCAAAATCTAGGAGATATCAGGGAAAACAAACATGTGGAGCCAGGAAACAAAGAGGAAACAATAAACAGTGACTGAACAGGAGGTGTATAAATGGGAGACTGAACAAAGACCAGGCTAATCAGCAGATTTGGAGCAGGTGTGGACAGAGGAATCAAGAAAGGAGCTAGGAGAAGGAGACTCACACAAGAAGGCAACAGAAGGTAAACAAGAAATATATAAGAACTTAAAAAATATAACCAAAAACAACTAGAATTGTACAAAATGGAAATGAAACAAATAAACAAAAAACATAGAAAGACACGAGTCAAAGTGTAACTGAAAACTCAAAAAGAAAACTTTAACAGAACCAAAAAGTGCAGAAATATGTCAATAATATGCTTAAAACAAAAGATTTTTTACATGGAATATAAGAGAGAACTCACAGAAAAAGATAAATTTGGACTCAAAAGAACCCACAACCATGACAATATTCGTCTGAGATGTTCTCTGTCAGTAATTCAATTAATTTCCTGTTCAAATTAACTAAATTTAGTTACAATTCTCCTGAAGGGTGGCATTAAATGTTGCCATAACTCATGGTTTTTTGTTTTTTTTTGTTTTCTTATCATAGATGCTGATAGCTCCACCAGATCATCATGGTGGGGCTGATCTCCAGCAGTCTATGGCTGAAAGGCAGTAAACTCTGGAACATGCACACAAACTTCTCTCACTGTCTTTGTGGAGTCTTTCCATTGACTTCTAATAATTCTACAGACTAACCGTGACCCTTACCCTTGACCATTAAGGGATCATACCTAACCCCAACTTAAACCCAATTCACACCTTAGTCCTCAACGTGACCCCCGACGACAAAATAGCAATGCCTGTATCAGTCAGATACTGCACAAATCGGGCCCCACCAGGAAAAAGAATACACTCACACATTAGGACAATTTAAAGAGACCAATAAACTTAACAGGTTTGGGACAGAAGGAGGAAGCAGGAGTACCCAGAGAATACCCATACATGCACAGGGAGTACACGCCAACAACATGCAGAAAAACCCTGGGCAGGGAATTGAACCTAAAACATTCTTGCTCCAAGGCAGCAGTGCTACAAACTGTTCCACTGTGCAGCCCCACAATTATATATACACTTTTTACATTCCTGTTTAATTTGAAGGCTGTTTTGATCTACAAGGCTTTTAAAAGCCTTTGGAAAAACAAGTGTTTACCAATAATGACTGATGACTGACCTGATTACTCATTTCATTCACCTGTATAGCTCTGCCCAGTTTCTCATTACCCTTCATCTTATCCACCTGCTTCAGCATCTATTTAAGCAGCCTTCAACCAGTCATCAGTGCCAGTTTATTCAAGCCTTTAGTGAGAGTTTCTCTAGCATACCTGAGTGTTTTCCCTCATCCTGACCCATTCTGACTCTGGACCTCTAAGCCTGCCTGTCCCTGTTCTGATCTGTTTGCCTGATCTGTCTTCGGACTCCTGCTGGATTTCTGCCTGTGTACCGAACCTGGAACTGATTCCATACACCGTCCTGGATTTCCCATCAGAACCTCTTCGGATCTCCGATCTCCTGGCTCTACCTCCCAAACCTCGGCTACTGCCTGTCCTCAGACCGCTGGGTCATCAGCGTCTGGGACCCTCCGGACGGCGCCCACTGCGTGTTGTTGGCTGCTTACCGGCTGGAACGAACCTCATCCTCTGGGCTTGGACTGAACTTTGAGACCAGGTTAGTGACTCGGATATTAATTATCCTCCTCCTCCAGATAGTCACTAAGCTGTGTTCTCCCAATGAAGAGGTCCCTGCCTTTGCTATCCTCTGCAATTCTTAAATAAACACTTAGTGAAACCTTAATGTCGCTCTGCCTTGAAAACTGGGTCCTTTTGTTCTGCGCCTGACAGTTTGATGATGGGGACTCTCACTGTTGTCCATAATCTTCTACTCTTTATGAAGAATTCTTGTGAAATCATCTTCAGAACTTATAGGGGAGTTTCCTTCTTTATAAGCTTAAAGGAATAGTACACCCAAAACATGATTAGCCTTCATTTTCTACTCACCCCCATGCTGAACAACACTCTGGAGTACCTTTTTGATATCTCAAATGCATCTGGAGATCTGGGAGGCTTCTTGCTGTCTGCTGACATTCAAATAATGGAGGTCCATAGCGCCCCAGGCAGAAAGGTCCATAAAAGTCAACAAAAAACATGTCAATATTCCTCCATACTGCTCGTCCAATGTATTCCAAGTGTCCTGAGTGGGTAGCGTCCATAATTTACTCGAAACGAAGTCATTTAGAATGTTTTTAGAGCATAAACAGTAGTGTATAGGATTTCCTAAAAGCGCGTTCACGACGCTACGGAAACCGCGGCAGACCAAACCAGACGAAAGTGCGCATTCAGCGTCTGCTCTGCCGATAATGCAAGCGTAGAAGAAGAAATGTGCAGTTTGAATGTCAGCAGACAGCAAGAAGCCTCCCAGATCTCCAGATGCATTTGAGATATCAAAAAAGTACTCCAGAGTGTTGTTCAGCATGGGGGTGAGTAGAAAATGAAGGCTAATCATGTTTTGGGTGTACTATTCCTTTAAAGAGCTTTTCTAAGTCACTTGCTCTGATGCTGATGCCCCAGCAGATGATGGAGGAAGAGATCACACTCTCCACATAAATTGATAGGTGTAGCATCTTGCAGCAAACGCTGAAGGACCTAAGCTTCCTGAGGAAGTACAGTTTGCTCTGTCCCTTCTTGTAGACAGCTTCCTTGTTCCCTCTCTTTATATAATTCACTGGGCAAATTATTTAAGTTTTCATTTTTCAAGCTCATTACTAAACAAATTCACATGCATAAACATTTACCTAAAACATGTGATTTTCTTATATAGTATAATAATTTTAAATAGCATAATTCTCTTAATTATCTTTTTTATCTGACTTTGTTGAACCTAGGTGAAAGGAGTATGTAGAGGACAATATCATATATTGGGAGCCTGACTTTTGATCTTAAGCTAAGTGAATTATATCACGCGCGCGGACAGACTGTTTTCTCGCGCCTGAAGCAGTGAATTTACTCTCACTCAAACATCATTACATTCGCCAATCTTCTTCTAGGGGCGCGCGCGGAATTGTAAAACGCACGCGTTGAATTTCATTTCTACAGATACTGGGACGAGTGCGCGCACACACACAGAAACGCGCATGCACGAGCTTTCCCCCTCATCCTCCTCTCCCTCTCTCTCTCCGTCACACACTCCCTCTCGTGCTTCACCCTCACACCTCGGCAGCAGCGTGCAAACGAACCGCCGCGCGCGCGCGCACGCATACCCTCACCCGCACACACACACACTCACTCCTGCACCCTGTATTTTTTATGCACCTCGCACCGGGCGCTTTATAAGCGGTCGTGGATTATGATGCCAGTTTTTATCACAGCGAAATATCGGCCTCTTCTTCATCGACTGCTGCCGTAAACAACACTAAAATCGCGTCCCTTTTTTAAATCAATAATTTTTTTTTTTTAGATTTGAATTATTCCGGATTTATTTTCTAATTTGGTTTCCCTCAATAAAACTGAGCACCGAGAGACCGCCGCGACGCAGAGCTTCACGTCCGATGCTTTTGGAACATGTCCTATGTTCCCTTCCAAGGTAAAGTAAGCAGATTTTTCATCCTTTAATTTTTTTTTTTTTTGACACCCACTGCATCTCTCTCTTCCCTGTCCTCCTCCATCCTCTCTCTGTCTTTCTCTGTGCCCCTCTCCTCCCTGATTGCCATATGGAAATGTAAGCAGGCACCATAGCCGACAGGTGCGCGGAGATGGCCCCAGAGTACCTGCTAGATAGAAGCCCAGCAGAGATGCTCGGTGTGCATGCCGCAATTATAGTATGGTAATAAAGGGCTGCGCGCGCGCGGCTGTCATGGTGTACTGCGTTGGTTGATAAGGGCTACATGCAGAAATCAAATGTTCCAGATCCTGTTATGAGAAAAAAAATCTACTCCGAGCGAGTTTTGTAGTGACACTTGTTAGATGCACTTCCTGTATGGCAAAAAAAAAAAAAAAAAAAAAAAAAAAAGAACAGCCTGATCTAAATGATGTTTATAGGAACTTAAACCCTAAATGTGTTAAGATTGTATTCCTGAATGGACACTATCATGCCTCCAAAGTAAAAAAAAAAAGTTTGGCCCAGTGAAATATGTAGATGACCTCTCCTCTGCCTGCTGGTCTCTCATTCCCTCACACTCCAGCATGAGTGGGTGAAAGGCGCTTCAATGTACGGCAAAAACAGCCAGATTCCCTCAGTATCACTGCTCTGCAACTGTGACTAATGCTATATGTGAGCAGGCGTGCTGCAGTGAGCTGCCTCCCATCCACCCCAGCTGAAACCCTCAGTTTGCATTGTGTCTCTGTGATCAGAGGGTTAAATAATTAAGGGGAGTCGGATGGGAAGGAGGTGCAGAGGTGCAGCTGTAAAGTTTGGGGAGCAGCTCTGAAGGACTGAGGCTGTTCCAGGTTTGTGTGAGTACCTGCTGTATCTGTGTGAGGGGGTGTGCTGCATGCATGAGAGTGAAGCCAAGCAATGGAGTGTGTGGAGCACCAGATCTGTTAGCCTTTGTGGAAAATCATCTGTGCCTTCAAATATCTAATCTCTAGCAAAAAAAAAAGACAACCTGGAGTGACCCTGGAGTCAACATCTGAGCCACACATGACAGAAAGGGAGCAAATGGAACTGCTGCAGCGGCTCTTTTCCTTTAAACTCCCGCTTCTTATTCCCTCCGAGCAGAGCAGATAAGAGCCAAAATGCCCTCTTGTGCAAATGCATCTATAGAAGTTGGTTGCATAATGCTGGTTTGGTGAGATGCTCTGCCACTGTGTGTGTGTGTGTGTGTGTGTGAGCCCACTCAGGGAGTCATTGCCAGGAAATTGTGAGCACAGTGCCGCACCTTCAAAATCTGCCAGTGATGTACTTTTTTCTCTGATTGCAATAATGTGTCCTTTTTAGGAATAAACCAGTTTTGTTTAGTTTGTTTTTTCAACTGGCAACACCTGCAGAGAGTTTTGCCTTCAGGCCCCTTTTTGCTGATTACTTCATGGCAACAATATTAATGTGCTCATTAGTATATTTGTGACATTATAGAAATGGTTTTTAGTTCTCTGTCAAAAGAAGAAATATAGCGTCACTTATATCCTTATTCAATATTTGAAATAACAGTTTTCCAAACTGTGAGAAAGGAACCTTTTTTGATCATTTATAACATAGAGAACATTTTGTATTTTGTAAAGTAAAGGTTTCCTTGTTGTTTCTAGCAATCGATATCTTACTGATTTTGGATAACTCTTTTTGTAGCTTGCTTTGCCATGAGATCATTTTATTGTTAGTTTCGTTTCAGTTTAGGCAAAAGAAACAAAAATAGTCTTTCTTTTGATGAACTTTTTAAGAAGATAAGAAATCAGCAGGGATGCACTATATGACACCATTAAGATGTGGGTCATTTTTAAGCTTATCGGAATCGGTTAAATAAGTAAAACTGGTTCGATATCCAACAACTGATGTTTCTTTTCATGTCATTGTGATTGTGATGCAGCAAAGGACTGTGATTGTTTAACTGAAGCGAAGAAGCAAAGTCTTTACTTGGTCATGTTTCTCATGGTGTCCAAAAAAAAGGGAAACATAAAATATGGGTGATTCTCCAACTATCTGAGAATTAGTTTCTTGGGCAGAAGTAAAAAAACAAAAGCATATTTGTCCATTTTTTTATTCATGCTGCACTTACTGGACACAAAGACGAACTTACAAAAAATTCTGATATATAAATTATGATTAATGTTATATAAAATATTGTTTTATAATGAGTGTTTTTGCTCTTGTCCCCTGGCCTGGTTTTGGACTCTCAGTCCCTCATAAGCTTGACATCAAATTTGATTTAACAGTAACTTTTAAAATTGATTATTATAATGAAAAGTTTCACATGGTTGAATTATATATTAGTGTTTTATTTTTTTCAAAAAAACTGTCTCTGGGGATCACTTCATTTCCACCACAGGATATAACTTTCTACTTTTATTTTAAAGGAGGATTGAGGTCTTACTTTATTTGGGCAAAAATGGCCCCTCCCAGACTCAGTGATCGCGACAAAAATTATTATTTTTTTTACTCATTACCGCTAAATACATTAAATCACCGGGAACGTATTACTTTTAGGTATAGATAATAATCCATTGATTATTTGTTGCTGACTTTTCCTTTAACCTTTGTCTGCTTGCAGCCACTTCAGCTGTCATGTGACAATAGAGCTAATGGCAGGATAGCAGTGTTTACTCAATGGAAGGAGGGGAAGCCACAGAAAAATGCAGAATATTTATATATATTTATATTAGACATAGATACATTTGCCGGCCATTATTTTTGGTTAATATGAGCTTTTTTTTCTTGTATCAGTATGGGTCAATATATAATGCCCTGAGATGTGGATCATGTGGAGCGCATGCATTGCTGCTCCCTCCGTTTGCTGTCTATCATTAATGCTACGGCTAAAACAATTAATCAGATTAATCGATTATTGAAATAATCATCAACTAAGGTAGTAATTAATTTAAATTCAACTGGAGTGTAGAGATTCTAAAACATGCCTTTAGCTGACAGTGGGACCCATTTAGAGCAGGAATTATACCATAATTGTAAAAAAAATGTATAAACATTTTGCATCTAAGATTTTAAAAAAAAAGTCTGTTAATATTAGGGATGGAATGGTTTATGAAAACCGTCCGAACCGTTCGGTTCGACTGTCTCGGTTCGATTCGCGTGTGTTGCGTTCGGTTCATGCGCTGCTCCTTTTTCTCATAGGCGAAGCAATTACACTCCAGAGCAGAAGGTGGCGGTACTGCAACCAAAGCCAACCACCAGTAGTAAACAAGAAGAAGAAGAGGCGAAGCAGCGTAGCCGGGTGTAGCAGGGAAAAAAATCAGTTGTAGTGGAGAATTGTGTGGGTATGGCGAGTGGGAAAGAACAGGAGTTGGAAGACGCGCCAGCAGCACTTAATAGGTCTGCTGTATGGGACCGCTTTGCATTTAGAGTGACCTACGATGACGGCGGAAAGAAAGTTGTGGATAAAAGTGCAACATTGTGCAAACATTGTGCAACACGTTTTGTTTATGCTAACAACAACACGACCAACATGTCAGGCTAACAATCAACATATACCGAACCGAACTGAAAACCGTGACCACGAAACCGTGAACCGAACCGAACCGTGGATTTTGCGAACCGTTCCACCCCTAGTCAATATGCTATCCAGAACTCAGCAAGTGGAAAAGTTTGAGTTTAGTTTGATTTAGTAAAATCTTCTTTAAGTAACCTTTGACTATCCGATTGTTAATTGATTCATTGTAAATCGATTTACAAAATAGTAAATAGTTGCAGCCCTATTTAATGCTTTGTTTAATTTATTATTCCTTTATTTATTTTGTCATATCTCTGAAATAAAGGGAAAAACCACCATTGGCTCCAAGATTCGACCTGAAAACATCGTCAGTATATCGTTAAGTTTTTTTTTTCAGTTTTCAGTTTCACGTTTATCCATGTTTTTCTTTGTTTTCTAGTTTTATTGGTGTGTTCTGGATTTATTTTAGTTTCTTAGTTTTTTCTTTCCTTGTCCTCTGTTAGGCCCTTGTGTTTCCTTTTCCCTTGGCTTCCTCGTCAGCTCTAATCACACCTGCTTCTTATCAGCTCATTAGTCCTGCCTTTGTTCAGTCACTCCCTCTGCATTCCCTCAGTGCTGGTTCCTCGTCTCACTTTGTCTCACCCTGACTCCTTCTGATTGTTTTCCCCTGATGTCTCCATGGTTCTGGTTAGTGTTTAATTTTTCTGTTGGATTTTTGGAAACCTGTTTTTGTTTAATATTTTTAAGTTGGATTTTTTAATTTCTGTTTTTGCTACCTGTGTTATCCCATTAAATCATCAAACATCAAAGAACCCACCCCTGCCTCTCAGCCTCTGCATTTGGGTCCTCACAAAAACTTCCAAACCAAACCGTGACACTAGATGGATCTAAAGTGCTTTTAAACATATTTCATTTTAACTGGAGAATATGCATGAACAAGCATCTTGGCTTCATTAAGTAAACAGGCAGATTAGGGTGATTTTAACACCTAATGTATCATATTTGATAAGTTGTTTGTTGTTCAGTAAATAAAATGGCTGCTTATGATATATATATCAGTTGTGACAATAATTTTCTCATCTGGTTGAAAGCTTTTTTTTCATCTTTTACGCTCACATTTCGAAAAAATGTATAGAAATGAGTTTTCAGAAAATTAGCAGACCAGACTTCGGGACTAGAAATCATCTTCGGCCTCCAAAAAAACTGATTCTTCTTTAGTGACGACGTAGACAGGAAGTGTTGTAAGATTACTTCAAAATAAAAAGACAATCCTTTAATTTATACATTTTGAAAAAAAAAAATCATCAAATAGATTTCCCTCTATAAAAATGCCATTAACTACTCATTTAAGTGAGCAAAATCAGCGAAATTATCAGTTTTGTAAAACGTCTTTTAACAGGTCTGACTTTACGGTTAAAGCCATAATGAATTCATTGAATTCCTTAAATGCATTTCTCCAGACAGATACTCCATCTTTTCTATACATTGG